CGGGTGTGAAAAGGCGAAGACAGAATTTTCTCAAAGTTTATATGCTGTGTTATATGAATATCTTACATAATGAGTTTACCTGTCAAACATACTGAAAAGTTTTTTATCCTTCTTTATATAATAATGATTTTTTATAACATCAATAAATTGCAAGTTTTCTAAAATATTTTGAATAAACAAGAGTTTTATAGAATTTTACGCAGAAATTCCACTGCAAAAAGCAATGGGAGATGGGTTGTAGCATTGTTTTTGGTTAATTGGTTGTAAAAAATTAAATTAAAAATCAGGTGGGGAGGATGAAAATGTGCTATAGAAAACATGGCTTTGTGTGTACCTCATTACACTCCAAGTACTGAAACTGGGAAATTGCAATATTTAATTTGAGACAAATACCACAATTGGAACTGAATGCTTTAATTAGTTTAAAAGCTACCTGCTAAATATGTCGTTTTTTTCTATAGGAAAACAGGGAATTTGCTCAGCAATAATCGCTGGTGCAAAAATTGAGAACTATTGTAAAATTCATCTCTGCAGAATGGTTATTTGTAATTTTAGTAATTTTAGACTTTTCCGATCGTTTTATGTCCTAATGGGTAGATGAGTCATACAAAGCTAAAATGTTTTTAATTGCATGTATTATAAAATATATATTTTACAGCCAAAGTTAGGGGGGTGTTGTTGTTGTTTTCTTTTCTAAATCCAAACACTGTTATAAACTATATCACGCTCTAATAAACAATTATGTGAAGGGGCAAAAATATATGAAAAAAAACAGTTTTTTTAAACTTATTCTCTTTATGTAATTTTTTATTCCTTTGAAAATATATAATTAAAGAGATATTAATATATACAAAGACACGTTATAAAGACATTTTTAAGTGTATCTTTTTGAAAATAATTCGGACAGTGCATGGTTTGGTATAAAAAATGAGTATAATTTTGTTTGGTGTAATCATAAATGAATTCAGACGATCTTTTACCCAGTTCTGAACTGCTGTTTCTTCCGGCAATTTCGGATTTTAAAAAAGGCCAAGTTCTTCTTATCTTGATGGAAACAAACTTGTTATTGAGTGCTTTTCCAAAGAGGAACAATAATTTTGCTAAGATCAAGTATTTAATTTTGGTAAGAAAAAAGGAAAGAAAAAATAGCATACATAGTTTGTCAACAATTATTTTTAATACGATAACAGTCTCAACACTAGTGAAAATTATTTAAATGGGTGAGAAGAATAACATATGGACTTTGATTTTATTTTCTTTACGTTTTATTTAACATGAAGTATAGCTCTCATAAGTATGCTGTATGATTTTTCTTTAAATTCTTTTTTTTAACCTGTTTTAAAAATAGAATTTTAGATTAGATTTCTCTTTTTTCCTAGAGAATATTTAAATTTTTAATTGTTTGCACTCATTTTGTTGTGTAATTCATTGATCAATGAATTTGAGGACTTTGACATCTAGTTAGGGGGATTTTCGGATTTGATGTTCGCTTTTGAAAGATAACTGAAAAAATTGCAAACTTTGTATGCTTTGCATACTCAAATGGTGGCTCTTACCGTTTTGTATCTGGAATATTGGGATAACTTTCAGATTGCTTGATTACACATAAGACTGAGTTGTTAATAAGTGTTGCTGCAGTGATAAAAGTTGTTTTTTAAAGTAATGTTATGTGAATTTTTTATACGACTGTTAGCAAAAGTTACTGGTTGTTATCAAAAAACATTATTACAAATTTAATAACAAGTTTATTGAGGTGATATTGAATCTCAAATTCAGTTAAATCAGTTTAAATATTCTTGAAATTAATTACATGATGAGGATTACCTTGAATTCATTCAAGATGTTATCTCAATCTCAGGTTTCTATTATAGATATGGAAATTTGAAGTTGTTTTAAGATATGCCATCTAGTATAGACAGTTAATATAGATGAATTTTTATCATTCCTTTGACTCTGCTTAGTTCACATAGGTGATTTTGCTTATTACCTTGACACTGTTCGTTTCACATAGGTGAATTTTGATCATTACCTTGACACTGCTCAGTTGACATACTAAGTGAATTTTGCTCATTATCTTGACCTTGCTCAGTTCACAAAGATGATTTTGCTCATTACCTTGACTCTGTTCGTTTCACATAGTTGAATGTTGCTCATTACCTTGACCATGCTCAGTTGACATAGTTGAATGTTGCTCATTACCTTGACCCTGCTCAGTTGACATAGGTGAATTTTGCTCATTACTTTGACCTAACACACTGTTCACATAGTTGAATGTTGCTCATTACCTTGACCCTGCTCAGTTGACATAGATGAATTTTGCTCATTACCTTGACCTAACTCTGTTCATATAGTTGAATTTTGCTCATTACCTTGACCCTGCTCAGTTGACATAGATGAATTTTGCTCATTACCTTGACCTAACACACTGTTCACATAGGTGAATTTTGCTCATTACCTTGACCCTGCGCAGTTGACATATATGAATTTTGCTCATTACCTTGACCTAACACACTGTTCACATAGGTGAATTTGATCATTACTTTGACCCTGCTCAGTTGACATAGGTGAATTTTGCTCATTACCTTGACCTTACACAGTTCACATAGGTGAATTTTGCTTATAACCTTGACCCTGCTCAGTTGATATAGGTAAGTGTTGCTAATTACCTTGACCCTGTTCAGTTGACATAGGTGAATTTTGCTCATTACCTTGACCTTACTCAGTTCACATAGGTGAATTTTGCTTATTACCTTGACCCTGCTGATTTGTGCGATGGACTTTTCTTACTTTGATTTCAGAACGGTAAGTGAGTTCATTGTTCAGGTCTTAATTACTTTCATTAATTCATTTGATTGTTTTGAATTTCCTTTATCTTTTGGTGTTTCTTCAATCGTTTTTTATAGATTTGACTTTTTAAAAATAAAACTGAGATTATCCTACTTTAAGCTTTTATAGATTTAAATCTCAGTCTACCTTTGCACACTCTTGATGTTGACTTGCTGCGTTATACTTGTTTGTTATTTAACAAAATCTAGACGATTAAAGTAGAACAAAGTGTCATTTTTGTACCTCGTATTTCTGTTTGAGATGCACAATCGCTTTTACTAGAAGTGACGTATTTTCAGGACCTGAAACATTTGCACAATTAGGTACAATCATTGTGTGTGCACAGTTTTTTATTTGTTTTCTTTTTTAAATCCCTCAGGAACATGAAGCTTAATTTAAATTAAATTTGTATGATTTAATTATAAGTTTAAGTTTGTTTCAAAGAAGTCGGCATTATTAGAGGTAATCTAACAAAACAGAAATAAGGAAAAAACGAGGGTTAGTTTACTGTATTGATTTTAATTGACATTAAAAAAGCTAAATCTCTAATTTGATTGGATCTATTATCCCCTATATATTTGCATCACTTTCTATCAATCTATGGCATGCTTTCTGTTGTAAATGCATGTAAACTACAAACTTACGCATGTTGCTCTATTCAAGCTTATGAAAAATTATTTGCTAAAATATTACATTTTATTAATTACAGAATCTAAGTTTTGTATAAGAGAAATCAAAATATGTACATGTAGTAGAAAGAAAAAAAAACAATTTGCTTTCTGCATTAAGATTATTGAAATTCTATTTTTTGAGATTAAAATCAAGTGTACATGAACATTTTTCTCTTTACATTTTATTCTTTCAGCTAATTTATCTAACATATTCGTGTAACTTACATGCGAATTTATTTTTACTATTTTAGCGCCAGGATCTGCCCCAAGAAACGTGAGAGCCCGACCTCATAGTCTTCAAACTATACGCATAGACTGGGATGAGCCCGAGATACCAAATGGAGTTATTCAGGTTCAAAAATTTATCTGTACATTTTGCATTTGAAACATTTAATGTTTAGATTATCTTACTAAACTTTTGGAACGGACTTGTCAGAATAGTGGATAACTGGGAAAAGGGATTTCAAGATCAGTATTAGAAGTTAAGAACACATCAATATAGAGCCTGGTCATAGTCATGATCATGTATGACACATATTGATTTTATGTCTCATATATGGATATTGATTGAGTGACATTTGTTTTGTTGGGTTTTTTTGTTGTTGTTTTTTGTGTTATATTTTTTATGAAATGTTTGAAATTTCATTCCACTTTTGTACTCGTATTGAGGTCCGCATTGTTCATGTGTTCATGCTAGGCTGCCACAATTCAAAAAGAATTGTCACACATGATTCGACCATGAAATACTTTATTTTTCCAATAAATTTAATCTTTACACCGGATTCATATAAACTAGATCTTACGTTTTAACACAATCACTAGAATGGAAATGAGTTCTCCCTACAGAAAGAAAAAACATTTTAATGGCTACTATAACAACATATTTCTGTGATTAGAATGTAGATATATCCATGTCAAATTATAAATTATTACCATACAGCCTATTTTGTTGAAATATTGATGAGAAAAGAGATATTAAACAAGCTCTACGAGAACCTGTTTACTCAATGGTTAGGAACGATATGCCACCCGCATCATATGCCTTACTGTTATGAAACCTTTCAGGATATTTTGTTTCTCTTCAATTGACATATATTTTTGTTTAGGATAGGATTTGCTCATTTTGAAGAAAATGACTTGTATCCATTAGGTAAATGCTTGCCTAAATAATTTATATCTTGTTACAGAAGCCTTAAACACTCCTCTACACAACCCCTACCCCCATTTCATTATAGGATCTCACATATAGTATGACCATATTGAAATACTTTATCGTATGTTTGTTTTTTGTTTTTTTTTAAGAACAAAATGAATATTTCCCTCTGTGATGTTTTCAGGGTTACAAAGTATTTTATACAACTAACCCAGACCTACCAATTGTGCTGTGGATGAACCAAGAAGTAGCTGGAGAGAATAAGATGACTACTATTAGTAGTTGATCCCCAAACAGCACCTACACAATAAGTTTGCTGGCCTTCTCAAGCATTGGTCAAGGTCCATTGTTCCGTTCCGGTTCAAGTGAATGACTAGGAAAAGAGGTATGTATTGTCTGTGTTTATTGCGGATGATTGTTTCCTGTTGTTTCTAAATGGTTGTTGCTAGAAGATAGATTAGGCACCTAGTGAAGGACACTGAAATGCACGCTTTAGTAATTTTTAGCCACTAGATAACAAAATGGTAATGTTTCATAAATTTTTCTTACAGTTACCTAGTACTGGGACAGGTTTAAGTTTAAAAGTACAGTTGTATTTTTCTTATTTATACTGTTATACTTTCCTTACATGTGTGCTTAAGGGGTAAAATATCACAATGTAGATGTGGGTACTAGTATTGCATTTTTTTAAGAACTGTTGTTTTGAGAAACCATTGAATTATTTTACACCATATTTCATAAATTGGATAGATTAGTTTAACCTTAACATTTTACTTAATACTAAATGTTAATAAACAGTTATAACCCAATATGATTAAACTCATTTTGAAACCTTTTTTTAAAAGAGTCAAGCTTCGTTTTCAACCTCTGTAGAGTTTTAATTGAAATTGGTCTATTTTAAGCGAAGACAAGTAATTTAGTGTTGCTAATTACGCTTTCCTGTTTATTGATTGGCGTTTTGAGAAATGTTTATTTTAAACATAGCATTTCCTTGTCATATTCTATTTGATTGAACAAGTGATTATTCATTGACTTTATAAAAAGTTAGGAAAGGTTTCTTTTTGCAATGAGTTTATACGATTTTCCGTCTTACAAAACATTTTGAAGATCACTCTACATGCAAAATGTATTAGGGCATGAGGCAATGTGCACACTGAGCGTATGTTGCAGTTGTTCTTTAAATCTTTCTTATGACAACAAAACTACTCAAATCTTCCTTTTCTTATGTAAAAAAATGCTACTTAAACAAAGGTGTTTAATTTTACCTTACATTGTCAAAAGAGGTGTTTAAATTTTCCTTTCAATTGTAAATCTTCAATTTGTCTCTTTTAAAGTTAACAAAAGTAATACAATGCTTTCTTCCACTGGTAACAAAGGTGATAAAATGCTTTCTTCCAGTATCAACAAAGGTGTTTATATTGTGTTATTTTGTTATTGTTGTTGTTGTTGCTGCTGTTGTTGTTATTTGTCAACTAATATGTCCTTTTATTTTATGTCAAGAAAGCAAATACTTCCTTCTTTCTTATGTCAAGAAAGCTACTTAAATTCTCCTGTGCAGTGTGACCAAAGGTATTTAAATTTAATTCACAGTGTCAACAGAAGTGTTTCAATTTTCCTTTCCAGTGTAAACATTTGAAGTTAACAAAGGTTATAAAATGCATTTTCCAATGTTAACAAAGGTGATAAATCGCTTTCTTCCAGTAACAACAAAGGTGTTTCAATTGTGTGTGTTTTTGTTGTTGTTGCTGCTGTAATTTGTTAACAGATATGTTTAAGCTTGCCTTCAATATCAACAAAGGTGCAAGAAATTGCCTTTCAATGTACACAATGGTGATTACGTGTCTACTTCCATATGATATAGATGTTTAAATGTTCCTTTTCATTTCCATGAAAGGTGTGTAAACATTTTTCTCAATATCAACAAAGGTGTTAAAATCTTCCCTTTCTTATTTTATAAAGGTGTTTAAAGGATTTCTTCCAATATCAACAAAGGTGTTGGAATGCTTTCTTTCAATTTTAACAAAGCTGCTTACATTTTTTCATCCAATGTCAACAAAGGTGTTTACGTACATTTTGGTCAACAAGAATGTTTAAGATTTTCATTCAGTTTCAACAAAGGTGTTAAAATCTTTTTTCCTTCCAAATGTCAACAAAGGTGACTTAATCTGTCACTTCAATGTCGACAAAGGTATTTTGATCTTTCGTTTTTAATGTCAATGCAGTTTGAACCATTACAAAGATATTAACATTATCTTTTCCCATATCTACAAGGATGATTGCATGTCTTCTCACTATCAGAAAAAAGATAAGTATGTATCATCTTACCTAAAATTCAAATCACAAATATTTATGTACACTCACTTCAGACATCAGGGCCAACGAAATCTGATTTTGACTTATTTGTCAGTTTTAATATTAAGTCTGTGGTGCAACCTAGGCAATACGGTCAATTAGTATAAAAATTTTTTTAGTGATGTAAATGATTTGATATTTTAAAAATTAAATGATGTATAAAAATCTTAGTGATGAAAAGTTAAAAAAAAAAATGTTTAAAACACTAAAAGTTTGTAAAAAAGCTTAATAGCATACTGAGGTTTTTATAGTCAAACAAAAAACTATAAGCAAGATGTTAACTGGGTTCTCTGTTTTAAACTAAAATTGTATACCAAACCCGGGGATAATAAGAAAATTTAAAAAAGGCTTTAAAATTAAGAATAAAAAATCACAAAAGGGTTTTTAATTGGGAACCCCAAAATCCGCCAAAAAAATTGTATCCTTTCAATTTTTAAATTTCAAATTATTTTTCCAAGGGGAAACAAAAAAAGGCGAAGCAATATTCCCCCTAATATAAATTTGTCCAAGCAATCAAAAATCACCTTTCAATCAGAGTATAAACCAATCTGAAAAATGTTATTTTTTAATTATCCTTAGATACTATTTAACCTCAAAGGCTAATTAATTTTTTTTCATTCGAAGTGCATGATTCATAAAACCGTTATAAAGGTTTGCAAGGCAATGCTTTACGCTAAATATAGAAGCATTTTATAAATCAAAAGAAAAAAAGATATGCTTAAAAGAGATAATTTTGATTTTAATAACTATTCACATTTAGATGAATCATCATATGGAGTGCATTTTCTCTGTAAAATAGATTTGCTAGGGATTGCAGTCGTGTGGATGATTTTGATAAACGCAATCTATAACTGGCAAACTTTCTGATATCGCTATCATAAATTACTTAAATATCTTAAAAATTTCTACCATCATAATTTGATTGTAATTTAAAAAACCCATTTATGATTGGGTATAAGCAATTCTAATTTTATGGATATGTGGTTTAATAACTTCACAAGTTAATGGGTCATAGTATTTTTTCTGCTGTCTCAAAATCATCAGAATGTTTTATTAAAATAGGCTATGACCCTATTATGTTAAGGTATACCACATGTTTGGTGTGTAACCCTTTACCATATGGACGCTATCTCTCCTCTTCTAATTGCATCTGAGTTGTTTCAATTTTCACCTGTCTTCCGTCTTGCTTGGCCTACCCTTGTAGGTTTTCTCATATTCCGTTAAGGGATAGAGTATTTCTGTTATAGAAATTAGGCTGTACCTTTCTGTGCATATTTACAGTATCGTTCATGCGTAATTATTTATTTCCTGTAATGTAACCAGGGCAACTGTTAGAATTTCACTACGCAGGTATTCTTTTCATTTTCTAGGGCTAAGAGTAAGGTTTTGCACGACTAAAACCGGTGTAAACTCTCCAGTGGTGTTATTTGTATTTTTCCTTTTTAAGAAGGTTTCCCCTTTTGCGTTTTTTCCTTTTTAAAATGTTTTAAATGATTTAACTTTTGGAAATTTTTTGATTTGTTTTTAAATTTTCCGTTAACTTTTTTTTCGTTCAATTTCATCGTTTTAAACCCCTTTTTTTCCCATTAAACCCCCCCTTTCTACCCATGGGTTTACACCCAAAAGTCCATAAATTTTCCTATGGGCCTTTTTTAAAAAAAAAATTTACTTTTTGAAAAATCCCTTTCTTTATTGGGACTGTTGTGTCTTTTCCCCAAATTTGGTTTTGTACCTTTGTGTACCCTCGTTATGGCTTTTATTTTGTCGGGGCCCGTGTTTTGTGGAAAAACCCCCCCCCCCTTTTCTTTTAAATTTTTTTTTATCATTTCTCATTTCCTATACCTTTCTCTAGTTTAAGCAAATGAATTCCAGGGGCCGGGACATGGCCAAGTTTAATCCTAAATTCATGATTTCTATAACATTTGTAGAAATACTTATGTTGATGCTATATATTAGATATCTAAGCTGTGGATAAGTGATATTGATACAAAATGACAAAGTGTGATATTGCCATTGACCTGTGAAAGTTCGTCACAAGAAAAATTAGAGAGAAATAAGAATCCCTAAAGAAAGCCCAACACGGCAAAATTGAAAATATGCAGGCTCGGTTTGATTGAGCCTGTTCATGGACGGTACTGTCAAGTGCATACTACCGTCCACGCCCCATAGCACCGGCTTAAGCAGGAATTCAACATTTAACATGAACTGGTAAAATTCTTAGAAATTTTGAAATCATCCGCAGATGTGTTCATAGGCGGTTATCATGGAACCCTCAATGTGGACACGTTAGTGCCATTCCATGAAAAGCGGCATATGGTCCCCAAGTAAAATAATGCATGTTGCCATAAACGAGAAAAAACAATTGGGCCCGAACTAAATAAAATGGAAATTTTGAAAGGGGATCTGAGGCTATAAAGCCTGCATATCACAGATATGACGTCAAAAGACAAATTTAAAAAGCAGGCCACATATCCTAAGGGTGATTCCAACAGTATTCAAGTAAGGAATACTGGAACCACCCAACAAGAAAGATGCCGAATAAAAGAACTAAACTAACACAAGCACAACAATTATGTCGTGCTGAACGATCTTTAAGGATCGGAATTATTACATCCCTGATTGAATTTACGGCCTCTAAGAAATCGTCTCATTATAGTAAGCATTTGTGCCAATAAGTCTCAGTTTCCTTCCACAGGTTACAAAGATACATTCAGGACACGAAAACTCCGATATTAGTCTATTTAAATAATGTAATCTCTATGGCGGGCAAAAGAATATCTCAAAAAGCCCGATCAAGCGTATTGCACACAGTCATATTATAAGTTATGTATATGTCAAAAAGTTTGAATTTCTTTCTATCAGAACACAGAATGGCACCAAATTGAATGATCAGCAGCTTATGCACTCCTGGGGAGTTTCATTAATGCATTGGTGCACCAAACCTTAATCTTACTTCCAATATGTTTTGTGGTTACAAAATGTGAAATAAGTTAACCACAGAAATGATTATGTAGATAAATATAAAAGTAAACTCAGTGACCATTAAAAGTACTTAAATGCCTCTAAGGAAGACAGAGTAGTATGAACAGTAAAAAATCATCTACTAGGGATAAAAGAAGGCAGAAGACGAAATTCCAAAATAATTCAAATTATTTAATTCCTGGCCAATTGCGGACTAGGGTCTAAACGCGTTCCCATGCTTCTGTAGATCTTAATACACGAAAAACGTTTTATTAACCACTACTGAAGATATAATTAAGTGATAAAATTTCATGTTTTGTTCATAAGGACTGAATTACATGTGTATGTATAATAATCGTCCTTATTAGCTAGCAAACACTCCATTTACTTATATGAAAAAGAGAATTAGTACAAGGGGTTTCCTATTGCCTAAGTAATTATTCTAAGTAATGAATTATTTGGCAACAGAAAATATATGTGTCCATCCTGTATACTCTTTCATTAAGTTGAACAATTATATAAACAGTTTCTGATGTTTTTTGTGTAAAACCGAAGTTGTTTTTTTTTGTATCATAAACAAACAAATGTTATAGTAAAACATGATGTTTGGATTTAAATATTTAATTTTTGCTGTCCTGGTAATATTTCCAAATATTCTTAAAGCAGCCAAACATAATTTTCGTTCAAAGAGATGAGGTATGTTTTTTATCAATATGTTGTTTCAATTTCAAAACTTAAATAATGTTAGCAATCTACTGCTAACTTAGATGATGATTATAAAATTTTATAAAGATAAGCACTTTGAGATTGAAAAAAAAATATTTGAAGGCAATTCTCTATTTATAGAACCATGTGGCGGAGATATCGATTTGGAACTCATGGGTGGTGTTGCTGAAATTCGGCTCAGGACGGGAGTAAAAAATGGTGTAGAAATTTACAGGTAATTGTTTTCGTCAATTTATTTTTTAAATGTCAGAAATTTACGTTTTTTTCCATTTTTGTATCTTATTTCATTGATTTTATGTCAAGTTATATGGGTCGATTACGAGCGTTTATATGACGCCTCTGCCTTCGTGCTGTTTTCGACAAATAAATAGTTCAGAAATTTGATGATTTATTGAGCGAAGGCTTTCATCTTTAATATAACTCTTTCGTGTGGTAAATTGTTATAAACGTACTCTTTCATTTTCAGTAGGAAATGCGACAAAGTATTTACACATAAAATAAACTAGATATAGTTCGAGATTGTATTTTGTACTTTAGAATGTAACGTAACAAAATTTATATACATGTTTGAATATCAGTTTCCTTGCGACAAAATTTGTAAACATTCAAGATTTTCTTTTTAATTTATGAAAAAAAATTTAAAACATGAGAAATAATTAAAAAAAGAACATTGAAATTAGAACAAGTCGTTATCGAAGACATATTTCTAATGACCTCCCTTTATTTACATAAACTGTCTATCTAATGTATTTTAATTTAATGATATTCATACTCTTTCATTTGAGCATTAAGATGATAATATTATACAATTATAGCATTTTAAGCAACGGCGAATAATAAAAATAGAAACAAAAATATTGTTGTAACTTTTAAAGGAAACAAAATCAGAGAATTATTTTTAGGACGTTTTATGCCTCCATGATATATTAACAAATGTTTTCATTCTGGTAATATGATATAAAGCAGATGATTTCAATTCGTTTTTATATAAGTACCCTTATCAAATTTATGAAAACTAATATAAGCGGATCATGAACAGACCAAATCAAGCCTAATATTTTGTAAGGGTTTAAATGTTTTAAAGGAATCGACTTTTTTCAAGATTTTTATTTGTCTTGGTTGCACGCCATAACTTCTTATTATAGAGTATGTAAGTGATGCTTCATGCCTTATATTTAAGCTCTGACCATGGATTATTTAGAAGATTTGATAAAATCTATCTCCTTTAATTCAATGTTATAATATGACTTTTCAGGAAAGCAGCTAATTTATATTTGATATATTACCGAATTGAATTATTAATCGGTCAACATGTTATAATTTTCTCAGATTTTTTAAGCACATAATACGGTGAGAAGAACAAGAGCGATAAGCTCAGGTAAAGCTTGTTATGCTTTTTGTGTCGCCTCTACGGAGTAGTGGCGACATATAGGGATCACTTCTCCGTCGTCTGTCCGTCTGTCTGTCTGTCTGTCTCCGTCCGTCCGTCCGTCCGTCACAAAACTTGTCCGGACTACTCCTCATAAACTACTGGTGCAATTTCATCCAAACTTTACAGGAATGATCAGTACCAAGTCTAGTTGTGCATATTGTCAGCATTTTCCGGTTCAATGATTTTTGTCAGAGTTATGGCCCTTTAATAATTTTCATTTTTAAAGTTTGTCCGGTCTACTTCTCTTATACCACTAATGCAATTTCAATGAAACTTTACAGGATTGATTTGTAGCTCAAGTCCTTGCGCATATTGCACGGGTTTTCTAGTTGAATGATTTTTGGCCGAGTTATGGCCCTTTGATAAAAAAGGTGTTTTTTCTGTGTGTTGCCAGATACACAAAAGCTTGTCCGGACTACTCCTCATAAACAACTGATGCAATTTTATCCAAACTTTACAGGAATGATCAGTACCAAGTCTAGTTGTGCACTGTCCGTCTGTCTGTCTGTCACAAAATTTGTCCAAACATGAAATTGGCCATCATGAGGCGACACATGTTATTACTGATCGCTCTTGTTTATATTTTAGATAAATAGAAACACAGAAGCATTTTTAAATCGTTATTGATCTGTTAAACGTTGAATTTAATGATAGTTTGCTGTCTTATTCAGAGTTTCCGAAGACTGTACATGGACACTGAGGACGGCTGATGATCATTTTATGATCTTAAAATCCGACTATTTTAGTGTTGAAAAGAGCGAAAACTGTATGTAAGTAACTAATAATTTTGGGACAACTTCCCCAGATGCTTATTTTATAGTAGCCAGTATATTTAAGTCGCGAATCAAATTAATAATAATGGTTATGTTTTATCAATAAAACGTAACTGACTGATTTTGTTAGGTGCACCATTAACCAGTTTAAACTTCACAGCAGTGCTTATACTGCTGACCGAAGGAGGCAACCCTCTGTGATCCACATATGTATGTCTGATGTTTCAAACTGTTTTCATGACACTTTTGTTTGTGTCCCTTGTTGTTTTCTCGTCTACGGTGAATATCTTCCCTTTCGCCCCTATTTTAATTTTTTTGGTCACCTGTCACAAAGTGACATGTTGAGCTTTTGTGATTTTTTTTTGGTCAGGCGACTGTCAGTCGTCCGTTCTTCTGTAAACTTTTATTTTAAACGACATATCCTCATATACCGCTAAGCCAATTCCATCCAAACTTCACAGGAATGTCAACTTAAATTTATTTTGAAGAATTTACTTGCATGCAGGACTCTGTTCACAATGGCAACCAAAAGAGAAAAAAAACTCCCTTAAAAACCAAATGAGCTAGAACTAAATTATTTGTCAGTGTCTACGAAGTTTGTTCAAATAAAAGCTTTCTGGTAAATATTGGCTCCACCCCCGGGGGACATTAATTTTCCCTTTTTTGTATAAAGTTAAAACTTTAAAAAAATATTCTTATAAAAAACCAAACAGCTAAACTTTAAATATTAAGTATGAGACTTCTTCTAGTGGATGTCTACCAAGTTTGTTCCAATAAAGGCCCTGAGGTCAAAATTGGCCACGCCTCATAGGGTCCTTGGTTTATCTCTCTATGTATATAGTAACAACTTAAAAAACTTCTTTTAAACAAGAGGGTCATGATGGCCCTGGGGCCCCCAGGGCGGGGCCAGTTTAAACCAAAGGGCTTTTATTTGAACAAACTTGGAAGACATCCATTAGAAAATGTTTCATGATGTTAAGTTTTTACTATACACAAATAATGAAAAACAATGACTTTTGCCCCCTCCACCTGGCAGGGCCAATTTTAACCCAAGGGCTTTTATTTGAACAAACTTGGTAGACACCCATTAGAACATGTTTCATGCTAAATATCTTAGCTCTAGCTCTTTGTGTTCTTTAAAAGAAGATTTTTAAGTTTTTAATTACTATATGCAATATAGGGAAAATCAATGACCCCCTAGGGCGGGGCCAATTTTGACCCAAGGGCTTTTATTTGAACAAACTTGGTAAACATCCATTAGAACATATTTCATGCTAAATATCTTAGCTCTAGCTCTTTGGGTTCTTTAATAGAAGATTTTTAAGTTTTTACTCTATTTATATAGGGAAAATCAATGACCCCTGGGGTGGGGCCAATTTTGACCCAAGGGCTTTTATTTGAACAAATTTGGTAGACACCCATTAGAAGATGTGTCATGCTAAATATCTTAGCTCTAGCTCTTTGGATTCTTTAAAAGAAGATTTTTAAGTTTTTACTATATGTATATAGGGAAAATCAATGACCACTGGGGCTGGGCCAATTTTGACCTGAGGGCTTTTATTTGAACAAACTTTGTAGACACTCATTAGAAGATGTTTCATGCTAAATATCTTAGCTCTAGCTCTTTGGGTTCTTTAAAAGAAGATTTTTTTAAGGCTTTTACTATATGCATATAGGGAAAATTAAAGACCCCCTGGGGCAGGGCCAATTTTGACCCCAGGGCTTTTATTTGAACAAACTTGGTAGACACCCATTAGAACATGTTTCATGCTAAATATCTTAGCTCTAGTTCTTTGGGTTCTTTAAGAGAATTTTTTTTAAGTTTTTACTATATGCATATAGGGAAAATCAATGACCCCCTGAGGCGGGGCCAATTTTGACCCCAGGGCTTTTATTTGAACAATCTTGGTAGACACTCATTAGAAGATGTTTCATGCTTAATATCTTAGGTCTAGCTCTTTGGGTTCTTTAAAAGAAGATTTTTTAAGTTTTTACTATATGCATATAGGGAAAATCAATGACCCCCTGGGGCGGGGCCAATTTTGACACCAGGGCTTTTTTTTTAACAATCTTGGTAGACACTCACTAGAAGATATTTTATGCCAAATATCCAAGCTCTAGCTCTTTTGGTTTTTTAGAAGAAGATGTTTAAAGTTTTTTTCTTTTGGTTGCCATGGCAACCAGAGTTCTGCATGGAATGGATTCAACTTTGTTAAGGCTTCACACAAGGAACATCCCTGTGAAGTTTCATTATGATTTGCCATATGGTTTCAGAGGAGATGTCGTTTGAAAAGTGTGAACGGACAACGGACGACGTACGACGTACGACATACGACGGACGCAGACGACGGACGAAGAGTGATCCTAATAGCTTACCCTGGGCATATGCTCAGGTGAGCTAAAAACCAAAAGAGCTAAAGCTAAAGATAATTTGCGTGAAACATCTTCAAATGTGTGTCAACTAATTAGTTCAAATAAGAGCACTGGGGTTAAAGTTTTCCCGCCCCGAGAGTCATTGATTTTCCTTATATATGTAAACTAAATACTTAAAAAAATCTTCTTTAAAAAAAAGATCTAGAGCATAAATATGTATCATGATACATCGGCCTATATACAGGTGAGTGATTTCAGGGCCATCATGAAATTTTTGTTTGTTTGATTTTGCCCCTGTTCCCTTTTACTTTTCTTGGTCTATTAATCAATCAATTATTTATTATCTTTGATTTCCTTTTCTGTTACTATTGTTTCTTTTTAGGTATCATTTATGTGTTTATTCTGTCCAGGCTCTGCCTTGCGTCCTATCCTATTTTTGTTTGGGTTCCTCAACGGCTCCTTTCCCCTGGTCTTTGTTGCTGTGTCGTTTAAGAGTTGCGTTCATTGAACGCCGCCTTTTCTTGTTGATTTTGTTTATCATATATTTTGCGGCATGAAACGTCTCGAAAAGCATAAACAAGAATTGTATCAAGAAATTTGAGTATATGAAAGAACTATCATGTGGTAAAGTTGTAAGAACGTACAAATAATTATCATTTTTTCTTAGTTTCAGCCATCAAATATTGAGCTTCATTAAATTTAACACACGGAAATTTGTATTTATCTGAGCATATTGGTGAAAAACAATTATGAAAGTAGGCGGAGTCAAAATTCATGCTTAATTTTAGGGACTTCTATCAAATGTGTCTTTCGATGACAGTCAGTAGCATTTCTTTATCACAAAAAGGCTGGAAATGTTAATATATTTCATTTACCATAGTTCTTTAAAATGTATCCCCTAATTTACCCTAACCAAAAATCAGTCAGATATGCGTCGTATTTGTTAAAAATAAAAATGAAATGCAAATATGAAAGTGGACGGAGACGAAAATCATATTTATATTTAGAGACTACTTTTCAAAGGGTTATGTCTGACAATCAGCAACTTTAGTTCAATATAAAAATTAAAGTTATTATAATGGTTATATTGCATTAACAGAGTTTAAGTCGGCAATAATAAATTTCGTATTTAAATCGTGTCACGCATCTATTAATTATCAATATTATTATATAATCTGTAAATTGCTTTAAAATGTCTTTCCCTGATTGGCTAAGAAGTAACTTAAAAATACGCAATAGTTCAATATCTGAGATAATTTACTGTGTTTTCATAAATAAGGTTTAAAAATTGAAGTTATTGTTTTGAAATCGGCCATAGGACCGAGTAATATGACGTTAATCCATGCCCGGTATGTTGTCATTAGTTTGAAAATTATACTTTTTAATTTGCCTTTTAAATGAAAATTCAATTTATTTATTTTATTAAAAAAAATCTGGAAAGAAAGTGATCCCTCGGAAGCATTTATCACAACAAAATACTTGAAAATTGCAGACTCGGTTTGATTGAGTCTGTATATTTATGGTACGAATCAAGCAATCCTATTCGTTCTCTTTATAAAAGAAATGACGAAAATATGAAGAAAAAAAACAAGCTGAAGAAATAATGATTTGCGTTGATACAGTTGCAGAATTCATAAGCCAGATCAAAGCTATATTTGAGTTTCATTATATAGCAAATAAAGACCCTTTAAATTGTATATACATATAAACAAGCTTAAAAGTCTATATGTTCATGGTATAACTGGGCATTGTTCAATAACAGTTTCGCAAAAAGTTAGGGATTGTCTTAAACAATTTATATTGCTTTTCTTTCTTGGCAATAAAATTAAAAGAGGTAGATATTTTTTTCTCCATTTTTCATCAAATATGAAACGACATTATAACATCTTAAAAATGGTCACTCGCCATTCAGATTTTTTTCATATTTCGCAAAAAATATTTTCCATATAAAATTTGCCTTTTGATTTATTTGATTTTAAGGTTCCAGTTATTGCCTGTAGAAAAAATAATTACGTAACAGAGTAAAAGCTTTCTTTAGATAATTGAGCTTGTTATGCTTTCAGGATTTATCAACTTTGTTTATTTTCACATTTCATGGTCAACGTTTTGATTATAAGATTATAGAACATTAGCTCTTCAATAAATTCTATAATTGAATAGATATATTGTATTCATAATATGTTCATTATGTAATACATAAAAAATACAAACATACTTGGCATGGTCCAAAAGGAAAAAGATAGATGCAATTGTTTTTGCGCAATACTTAACACACATAATGTTTAAAACAAATAGGGTTTTCGCAGCAGAATGATTATGGATAATTAGCGCTTTTCTTGCATTAAAGGTACTCCACTGAGGTACGGCCGAATGTCACAAAAAAAAGTAAAATTTCACGAACCGATATTTTTCTGTTACCTGCGAGTTAGGGACATTCAAACAGAATCAGTGATACATTGATATGTGTTCTTTGGATTGGCAAGTCGTTTGAAATACATATTTTCTCCAATTTTGTGGGAAAAGCGTTTAAACACCTTTCAGTTTGCAAATCTGAATAAAAACAACGGTCACGTGATGATTCTCGGGATGACTAAAAAGCGAAACGGAGAACTTTTTGTGTATCGGCAGCAAC